GGGGGGTGTACAAGGCCTAAGTTAGGCATGTGAATAGGTTTAAGTAGTTTCTGCAGTTTGGTTTGTCGTTATTAGTAAAATCTACTCCTCCGTCCCATAATATAAGAGTGTAGGGAGTAGTTTGCTAACCAGGGCATTGACTTTTTCCTATAGCTACTTTTGCACAACGTATAGTTTATAAAACAAGCTTAGCATCATACTGTTCAACAACTACCTAGCAGATTACATGATTACTGCAATTCTCAACCTAAGAATGCAGCTAATAGACAGTATATTAGCAAAATGTAATTCAGATTATGTACAAAAATATGATGCGGTTGTGTTGTTTCAAAATTGGCATCAACCATATATCCAATGTATTGCTTATTTACGGTAATATGCTAGCACTACAACCGTGTTAACCGAGAAGCCATATGTACCGAACCGAATTAGCCTATGCACCTGTCTCTTTGCCTAGTTTAACTGTTGCAGAAATCCCCATAACCAGCTACTTCCATGGTACGGACGAGCTAGACAGCTAGCACACATGCTGGACACAACACAAGGAAGGAACCAAACAACATATGTGCCTTTAACACGCAGCAGCATAAAAGCGTGCATGCAACATTTCCCCTACTACTGTTGGACAACGCGTCACCTAATTCCGCAAATTTTACAACGTATTTGCCGACAAAAAAACCCTGATATACCAACATTACAACCAACTATTGTCGCTGTATCATTTCTATTCTGCTACTCATCTCTGCCATATACAGAAGTACAGGTCATTCTTTTTCTTGTTTTGTTGCCGTGTCCGCAAACACCTAGGCGGTCCCTGCTACTTCACTGCAGCAGGACGCGGAAGAGGCCCGGCTGTGCCTGCGTGTACTGAAGGCCGTGCTCCAGGAGGTACTGCTCGATGGCGGCGGTCAGCCTCGCAGGGGTACGGGGGTTAGAGATAATGATGGCCTGGAGCCGGCGGCCCGTGGAACGGGCGATCTTCCTCCGGTTGTTGAGTTCGTTGTTCAGGACGTGCATCGCCTCACTTGCATGAAGACCACAAAGATCGATCGCGGGATTCTGCTCCTGGATGAGGCCTTGCAACTCTGGCATCTGGAATCTGGTGAAGGCAATCAAGAGAATATTAGCCAACAACTCGTTTACCATTTAGTAATCTAGAGAGAGAGATCATGATGTGAGAATCATTTCACAACCGAGCATCGTGGTTGATTCATTTGCGGGGTACTGGACTACGATATAGTAGATGGGCAGTGACTGGCACTGATTTATTAAGTAATAATATTAAGCAATAGCATTGACTGTGACTCAAAAGGAGGTATACAGCATACTCCATAATGGTACACAAATGATCTGGCTGGTATTGTAGAATTTCAAGATCTTAAACTTTAAACTTCAATGCAAGCTACCCATACAAGTTGAATTATACTCCCTCCGTTTCTAAATATAAGACCTTTTAGAGATTTCAATATGGACTACATACGGATGTATATAAAACATATTTTAGAGTGTAGATTCACTCGGTTTGCTCCATATGTAGTTCCTATTGAAATCTCTAAAAGGTCTTATATTTAGAAACGGAGGGAGTAATATACAGAACATATTATTTTGATAATATATGAACAATTTCTTATCTTAAACAGCATTCAAATAAAACAGGTAAGTTTTCAGATAATAATAATGCATGCAAACCAAGTACTCCCTCCGTTCCTAAATATAAGTCTTTCTAGAAATTCCAATATGGACTACATACAGAGCAAAATGAGTGAATCTACACTCTAAAATATGTCTATATACATCCCTATGTAATCCATATTGAAATCTCTAAAAAAGACATATTTAGAAACGGAGGGAGTATGTTTAAAGAAAATCTTCTATTGTTCACTCACATAAAAAGCCCAAGCACTGTATGCTCACCAAGAAGAAAGCCTGGTGTGGCATTTTGAATTATGCAAAATTATAGACATAACAGTTTGTATGTGCAGACGTGTTCATTCTTACACAAGATAACATTATCGGAACATATATAAATGTGACTCAAAAAATGTGAGATGGAGGAAATTAGTGCTGACCTCTGTTGATATATATTTTCTCTAGCCTTCTCCTGAGCTAATCTGCTTTGGATAGAGTACAGCTCCTTAATATTTAGTTCCTTTGCTAAAGGATTGCCACCAGTTAGAAAAGCTTGTCTATCCTGCTAAAAAAAATTAGACAGCAGCACTGTGAGCAAACATAACCACAAGTTGAGAAAACAGTGCTCGCAATACAAGATATATTTCGAGAGGCCGCTATTGAAGTGGTGTAAAAATCAGAGTATTTTAGATTCTGTGCGGTCCTTGTATGACCAACAGCAAACACAAAATAAAATGTTCATAGGAAATTGGTCCATATAGCATAGCTCCAGAACACACTAACAAAAACTCTCTTCCTATGAGATGTAGTTTTACTGGCAGTGAGTTCATTTTAAATGCCATGAACAACTATAGTTTCCAGGTCTAGGTTCCTGTAATTGTTACTACATGGTGAGTGACGACCATCAGTTCATACTGCAGTAGAATAAAAGATGCTACTAAAAAATTATGGTAGTAATTAAATTATGTGCATTATCACTACTATACTACTTTCACTAACATAAAATTACCATATATACTCACAATAACTACGGCTCAATTCCAACAATCTGGTTTCCAGAGTAGTATATCTACCTGTTCAAGAAGTGCATGTCTTAGACTTGCAAAATCATGAACTTCATCCTTTTCCAAAAACATGTTAGCTGTCATAAGAAAATTCAAACAATAAGGCAACTAGGCATCTGTGCTGCCACAGGTTCATAAAAAAAACATGTATCATAATTCAAGAACACTACCCGTAGCATCTGTGTCGAGCCAAGTTTGTCCCGTTTGAACTCCAGCAATGTTTTGCAGTGTGTTGTTTGAGAGCATATCATGATTACCATTGTATGAGCCAGCCAACAGATGAGAGCCTCTGCTTGAACCAAGACTAGTAACAGGCAAATTAGTTGTCTTGTACCTCCCCCTTGGAGAATCTAGGGATAAACGTTCCCTGCCAGCTGAAGGTGAAATTATATCATCTGTGAGTATGGCTGAATGAGATCTGTATGGACTGTTCGGCAGACCAAAAGCCTCTTTGTTATAGTTGGCAAGACCATTTTGAGCATATGATACTGGTGATGGGGGACTTGAATGTCCAAATGACAGTGACCTGAGATTCTGATTGAGTCGTCCATCAACTTTATTCTGCTATTGAACATATTGTAGTATTAAACAAGTGTTTCAAGTAGATTTCATGCAGGTAAACAATACTACCTCCATGCCAAAATATATGACATCTTGGTAGGCTACTTTAGCCTACCAAAACATCATATATTATGGCACGGAGGTAGTAGACTGTAGCTATTGCCATCAAATATTCCAAAGTAACCAATACAAAAATCATCAGAAAATATGGCGTATGCAGTTTTGTTAACCCACAGGCAGATCAGATACTTTGTGGATAACAGACATTTGACCACAAAACTGGCAGTGAGATCACAAAATATATTTGTTAGCTATGGTTTCTTAAAACTATGGTTGGACTGAATAAAATAGCAGATTTTATCAGGAGATTGACCTCAGAAGAAAACAATTAAACTATGTTCCGTACATTCTAGCGTATACACCCTAACTTGATTGGTTTGAACTAATAGGGTATGATACCTGAAACGGAGAATTAACACCGTTATATAGTTATCGATACAAAATAAGAGTTATAAGTCAGTTTCTTCTAAAATGGAATGGCTCCATAGATAATCAGAGTGATCTGTTGTAGTCACTGTAAATACAAGTCATCCTAGTTTGTGGGCTTCATAGGAAGTCCAACGAAATGCAAGTAATCCTATGAGACCCACCACAACATGTTTGGTGAGACTGATGCATCAATTGCACAGTAGTGTATCTACCACAGAACATGATATTTTCTTTTTTATCAGTGGCTTGCAGTCTTGTACACACCAAGTGAAAGTGCCTATTAGTTGTTGCAACTGAGAACATAAAGAATTCACCAAGTTTTACATTGCTTTCATATCATTACTCAAATAACTCATACAATACGTAGTCTCACAATATATACTCGTTTTATATATATAGCTTAGTGCAGATACCATGGTAGACTAGTTTCTGTTCTAAGACGGTGTTTAGTTGCTTGCCACAATTTGCAACACATGAGTTAGGCATGTTTGACTTTCTTAGGCCAGTGTCTGGATCTTTGCCAAACTTGTAGCACACTACACCATTACAGCACCGTACCTCACATGCCATAAATATAATTTATTGCCAAATCTTGCCACTTGCAGGACAGATGGCCATGACACAATTGTCTGTTGCCAAAAAATTTGCATAAAAATATGGCAACGGGTAGAAGCAACCAAAAAGGTCAGAGACACATGAGATCCCTATTGCTTGTAATCGATTACGACATCAAATTGAATATGCATTCGTGACTAGGGAGTGAAAGTCCTAGGCTCCTAGCTGTACAAACCAAAGGTTGAATAAGGAACTAGGAATCGCAATACATGCAAAACTTGACAAGTAAAACCATAAGCGCGGGCAACATCGACCTGCACGCACGTGGGCGGTGAGTGGGGGGGGTGATCTTGCTAAAAGTTTCATGTTTATTTATAACATACATCTTAGCTGGTATTAAACCTCTGTATGGTTGATGTAAACTGTAAAACTATACACTGCATGTACCTCATGACCATTTTTAAACATATCAAGACTTTTGCTGCTCTAATATATGATAAACACACCAGTTAGCTTACAGATTGAAAATAGGGACCTGGTTAGTGCCATATCTTTTTTTTTCTTTTATGGTTGTTGTGTACCTAAGCTTATGGACAGTTGGAGCCTCGGAAGAACATAATTTCAAATGAATGATTTGAGATGTATAGGATGCATTAATGAAGACAGACCTCCAGCTGAGTCATGCTGTCCATACTTGACCTAAAGCTACGCCGGTTTCTGTAATAAGCATCAGACTGCAGTGGGGATCCTGAAATTGCAAGTGGAAAGGTTAGGGTTAATAGAATCACCTTCAGTATAGAAAATTACACTCATCAAATCAATATACCAATGCTAGAATCTCCATCGTAGTGACTAGCATCCCTTCTGTTTGTACCATATTGACCACCATTTCTTACTGTCTTTACCCATGGAGCAGCAGTTGGACTCATAGTACTTGCAGTGGGACTCATAATAGTAGCTTGCGGCTGTTCTTGGCCAGGAAATTCAAACTTCGCTCGTGTACTTAGCGTGTCCCTAACAAATGGAGAAGCATGGTGCTGCATTCTTGATGTCTGGTTTGGAGAAAATAATGAAGCACCAAAGCCATCATTCATTGAGAGGCCCGTGAGTGAAAGACTGTCAGGTCCAGGAGTCTCATCTTGGCCAAGAACGTTGAAATCAGGGGTGATATCATCTGGAAGCTGTTGTTGCCAATACCGGTGTGCTTCTTCATCAGGGTTGCTTGGTACGGACTCTGGTTGGTCTGTGCTGATTTCCTTGGAGGACTCTGAGACAGGAATCTTGGTTGTGTCCGATCTGTTTGAAGCATCACTCACAGATCTAAGGCATGAAGGAACAAATTCTACCGCGTTAGGATTTAACGAAGTCGTCCTGTTTATCAAACTTATTTTCCTTTCTTCAATGGACATCTTGCTAATGAGCAGATGCAGCAATTCTGCAGAATTCAAAATTTGACACAAGTGTCTTGGGAGATTCTTCTAGTCCTATCAGATAGAATCGTGAAAGGTAGAGTTAGATTTGAGACAAGCAAAATTAACAAAGACACAAAAGTCTTTTTGCAAAAAGTACAAAATGGTCTTAAGTACCACAATTATGCGGAACTCAAAACGTATCCACCAAATTATGATGCAGAAACCAGGGTAACAACTTCTGTGAGTGTGGTTTGCACACACAAAAATGCATTGCACATTTGCACATTTGCACAACACAATATCTGTGGTCTTCCTAATTAGATATCTCAGTTCAACTGGATAGATGAAGATGGGCTGGTGGTATTCTTATACAATATGGAAGTCAACATGTAAATCAGACTGTTCTACGAAGTGCAATTGGTACACTTTCTAGTATCGACTGAGGATTAGAAGTTATGGAACATTTATGACATATCAAACTCTGCCATGTGAGGCTGCTCATGGTTAGCAAAATCAACCAATCAAAACTTAAACAAAATAGCTATCCAATAAGCTGTAAATCCAACATAGCAAGCAAAACGCACGTGCGGGGACTGAGACGTGTAAAGAAAGCTCTATTTAACATGGAAATTGGCTCCTTCCCATTTTACTGTGGACAAAAAATGGAAATGCTTGCGTGCAATTGAATCTTAGAAGTTCGCATCCGAGACAACAAAGTAGACACACCAAGGTTCCACTTGAGAACAGGCAAAGGGAACAAAACAACAGACTTGTTACCAACAGAGAGAGACTAAGCTGCTGAGCTAAGCATCTCAAACCATTCCTAGTCACTCCGCAATGGATTTCATAATATGCATGGAGAAAGAACAAAATGCACACATTTGATACTTTTGGAAACAGAAGTACCAGAGCACAGAAGCATTTCTTGCGAGGGGTTAAATTACGAGCGACAAGTCCACTAAAAGGAAAAGGCTAACAATTATAATCACCAAATAGCAGCAAGCATTTCTAACCATAAGGAAGATGATAATAAGCAGGATACTTGACGAATCGCAATAGAAAAACAATGAAACATCCACAACCAAAAAGCAGTGGGATTCCCCACCACCATCGCATCCAGAAGCATCTAGATATAAGCAATACATGGCTTAGGACATGAACTGATTCAGTTCCAACCCGCAGCTCGCGGTCCCCATCGAACTGGTGCGGTGCTCCCGTGAGGAAATCGAAGTAAGCAAGTAACAACTAACAATAGGAAGTGGAGCGCAACAGCAAACACTGAAGCAACTAAATCCAGCAGGCTTTAACCCGCAAGCGGACTGTACCACACGCACGCACACCTACCGAATCCAATCCAATCATTATAATACCCAGCTCGGCGCAGCTTAAAAAAAACTCCACACGGGCACTTGACAGCTTGAAAAACAAACGAAATCGAGCGCCGAAAGAGCTGAATTCAGCAGCTCCGCCACTGAGCCCACAAAACCCCACGCGCGAATCGAGCACTCGAAGCGCGGGTCAATGCAATCGACGAGCGTCCACAAGGATCTAGCAGCGCCGGGGGGCCCTCAGCCCCGACGAGATCGACGGAGCTGGCGGCGCGCGGCGGAGGCCCGGCCCGTGACGTGCGTGCAGACACGCGACGGCGCTCGTCGTCCGTCCACGCCCCGCGTGCTAATTAAGCTGCGCCGCCGCCTAAAACCACGCACCCCGGCGACGCGGCGCGCGCCCGCGGAGAAGGGAATTGCTGGAGGGTCCCGACGAACCCAGAAGCTTCCAGAAGGATTGGAAATCTCACCTTCGCTCGCCTCCCCCTTGCTTCTCCGCCTCCTCCCTCTTCCTCTCGCCCTCGCAATAATTTCCCAGTGATTTTTTTTCCGGCCCTCTCTCCCTATCACTCTTGTTCGCTGTGTTGACTCGCAGCCTTATATTATTCGGGGACGCGATAATGTCCCACGGGCACGCCCCGGCCCTCCGATCCGCCTGCGGGCGCGCATCCGGCCGTCCGTCGCCCCCGCGGCCGCAGATCGAGCGCGCCTCCGGAGCCACCGAGCCGGGTCTGGGTGACACGCGGGGTCCGCGCGAGGAGTGGCGTCTGCTGTGCCGTGTCTGTTTGTCCCGTGAGGGGAGCCGCGGGCCCGGCCGCCGATTTGACGGGTCCGGGGTTGGTAGCGGGCGTGTGCCGCTGGGCGGTGGGGCCGGGCGGCGGGGCAGCCCGCGTGTCAGCGTGTGGGAAAAGTTGCGCGCGGCCTGGTGTGGTGGCCCTTTGTATTTATTTTTTCTTGTTGGAGTCGCGTTACGTCCCCCTGGAGGTGCGAGGGGGCGAAGAGTGCATGCATTTTTTGTACCGAATGATTCTCGAGTAAGTAGGTTGCATGGGATCGTGTGGTCCTCGGTGCGCACGTCTCGTAGGCGAGTACGAACGGACAGGAGCTACTGCGATGCGATTTTGTATTCCCGGGGTTTAGAGCAATTTCAATGGGTCGACCAAACGGACGACGGTTTTGTTCATTGGATCGACTGTTTGTTCGGCGTCCGTTCTGTTTTTGAAATGGGTCGGCAGCGTGACTAACACGTCGATCCATATGTGCTGGTGTGGCTGGTTGGTCACCTAATTTTATATTGGTAATTTGCATTCAAATATATTGTCAAATAAACCGAATAAAAATAGTATAGTTTTACAAGCCAAATATAAATAAAAATATTTCACGTAGTTTTGCAAACGAATAAAAGGAGATACACCTATTGGTTGCCAACATGAGCCCACATATACTGAACCAAATCATTTTGCAGTTACACGTGAGTTTCCCAATCACGCATGTCTTGATGAAATTGGATGAACTGTTCAAATGTTGCCGCTACTCCATGCTCAGGCACAACATTCTCACCCTGAAACTGAAACCCTTGATCGTATAGACGTTCCGGGCGTTCGTTTTCTACTATCATATTGTGCATGATCACACAAGCAGTCATCACCTTCCACAGTTTCTGTGTGCTCCAGGTATTAACAGGATGCCGAACGATGCCCCATCGAGATTGCAAAGCACCAAAGGCACGCTCGACATCCTTCCTAGCACTCTTTTATTCTTGGGCAAATTTTTTCCTCTTCTCTCCGACAGGGTTGGGTATTGTCTTGGCAATAGTGGTCCACTGAGGATAGATACCGTCAACCAGGTAGTATCATTTGCCGTAGTTGTGGTCGTTGACAGCAAAGTTCACCGGTGGGTTGTTGCTTTCGGCAAGCCTAGCAAACACCGGCGAGCGCTGAAGCACGTTGATATCATTGTGTGATCCAGCCATGCCAAAGAAAGAGTGTCAGATTCAGAGATCTTGAGACGCCACGACCTCTAGTATGACAGTGCAAGCCCTGACATGTCCCTTATACTGCCCTTGCCAAGCAGAAGGACAGTTTTTCCACTCCCAGTGCATGCAGTCTATGCTGCCAAGCATCCCTGAGAAGCCCCTTCCAGCATTCAACAAACAGGCTGTATTTTCAGCTGTCGACTCTCTCAAGTACTCAGGGCCAAACACAGCAATAACAGCCTTGCAGAACTTATATAGGGACTCTAGGCATGTAGACTCGCTCATACGGATGTACTCGTTAATGAGATCACCGGACACTTCGTATGCAAGCATTCGGATGGCGGTATTGCATTTCTGGTAAGGGGAGAAATCGATATTGCCGACGGCATCCTCTTTGCACTCGAAATAGTCATCATAGCCGACCACCCCCTCTCTAATATGGTCGAAAAGATGCCTACTCATACGGAAACGACGGCGGAATTTTTGATGTTTGAACAACGGGTCTGTTGTATCAAAGTAGTCCTTTCAAAGAAGAAAATGCCCGCTCTCTCGGTTGCGAATCAACGCCGGAAGGTGGCCCAGAATGGAGCCACAGAACAACGGCCGCTGGCTGTTGAGGTGGTGATGGACCAACACGATAGCCAATATCTCCTCCTGGTCGTCGGACGACGAATTGTCGGAGTCACAAAGGAAATTGTGGAAAAAGAACTCGTCGGCAGAGTCCATTTCGTACCTTGGCAAACTATCGAACAGCTTACGGGCGTCGAAGAAGGAGATGGCCGGCGAGGGGAGTCGCGACGTGCACGGACCAGCTAGCTGCCCTGTCGGCGTCCGACGAGTGTGCCGGTCGGGTCTGGCTAGGGCGGCGAGGTGGCTTCTTGGTCGCGGGCGGCTGTGTGGTGGGGGAAGCGGCGATGGGAAGCAGTTTGCTCCCCGGTGGCAAGACGGCGGTGGCGGGCGACGGGGGAGTGGGCGGCGTTGCTGGGCAGATGTGGAGGCGGCGGCGGCGGGGCGACGACGAAGGAGGCGGGCGAGGGTTGCTGTTGGCTGGGGGTTGAGGGGGAGGCCAATGTGCCACCGACCAGCGGGCCCGGGGAGAGGAGAAGGCGAGCGTGCGTGCGTCCGTCGCGTGTCCGCCCCGACGCAAATCCGGCTTAAAAATGGGTCGGGAATGGGTCGTTTGTGGACAAAAAGCGGACGCGCGTCCGTTTGGGTCTCGGGCGACTCATTTCGTCCGCCGCCGTCCGTTTGGGTCGGCGCAGACTGCTACCTCTTTTAGCACTGCGTTGGTTTTCCCCGAAGAGGAAGGGATGATGCAGCAAAGTAGCGTAAGTATTTCCCTCAGTTTTTGAGAACCAAGGTATCAATCCAGTAGGAGGCTACGCGCGAGTCCCTCGTACCTGCACAAAACAAATAAATCCTCGCAACCAACGCAAATAGGGGTTGTCAATCCCTATAGGGCCACTTACGAGAGTGAGATCTGATAGATATGATAAGACAATATTTTTTGGTATTTTTGTAATAAAGATGCAAAGTAAAATAAAGGCAAAGTAAATAGCAAAGTAGTAGGAGATTAATATGATAAAGATAGACCCGGGGGCCATAGGTTTCACTAGTGGCTTCTCTCGAGAGCATAAGTATTCTACAGTGGGTGACCAAATTACTGTTGAGCAATTGACAGAATTGAGCATAGT